TTTTAAGACCTCTTCCCTTGTCCAACCCATGACGCGCGTAAGAAGACCCAAAGTCAGTGCCTCTATGCCCATGTCGAGATTGAGAACCATCCACCTCCCAATCTCTTTGAACCTCTTGTCTTTGGGCCACGTGTTCAAGCGCCAGATGAATTTCTCGGTTACAATGTCAACGAATCCGGCATCCTCGATGGCCTTGGTGTACTTCGATGGACTCTCGATCGAACGTCCACACTGCTCGCCTGCTTGCGCCATCAGGTCATGCCATCTTCGCAGTGCCGATTCTTCGGGAACGCTGCCGTCATCACAGCCCATTGGAAGGACGAAACCACCGGCTTCGAACCAACCACCAGGTGTCAGATTGCTGCCAAAAGTCTTAGTGAGTAATCCATACTCGGTATCCTTGCTAAACAACTCGAGACGCCATACTCATATATCTCTTGAATAATCAGCTTCGGATCAGCAAACGATCCTTCCATTGTCCGGCAGAAGATGAAGTCGAATGGCTCATGCCAGGCCCACGGCTTTTCCAGGTCGTCAATCTCAAATTTGCAGTTAGGAGGAGCCCTGTTTGATCCATTAGACCGTATGAAAAAACAAAAAAACGAGAGGCTGTACCACGAAGGTTGAATGGGACTCAAGTCAACACCGATGACCTAATTCCAACTTAGTCTGAGCGATCAGGAAGTAGTCCGGTATCAAACCTCGGCATCCTTAAATTCGTTCGCTGTAGAACGTGACGTATTAGCCGGGGCTAAACTCAAAGATACTGTGCATGAAAGCCACCCACCAAAAGCTATGGCCCACACGCCCGTTCCAGTGCCCATGTCTAGAACACGCTTCGCTGTTTGGTGAGCTGGGCAAATCGCTAATTTACCTTCGAGAGTGAGAGTCCAGATAAGGTGCTGAAAGTCTGCATCATACGACATGAGCATATGTGAGTCGCTTCTGCTCTGCACAGCATGTAATTTGTTTGGGATTGAATGTCACACTCACTTAGCCGGTCATTTTCCCACTACACGGGTATAATTAGCGCTTGCTCATAGAGAACTGCATCACTATGGCACTATCAGAGGCACACTTACTTGGTCGTTCGGATATTGGTACTCTGTGCCTCCAGTCAGCAATTTTAAGCATATCAATATGGCAGACAATCAATGCCATAGAGTACGAACTTCCGGCGCTGACGGAGTGGTAGGTGCGACCATTTTCGTGTTCGCTCTCCCAAACTCTTGATTTTGCCGATGAGTCCGAACTCAAAGACTCTGCGTCATCGAAGAGCTGTTCAATAAGGAAGAGGTATTCAGCAAAACATCGGAGCTAGAGCACAAGACAGTCCGCAAATAGACAGGGATAGGATTCTCTCACGTCTTCTTCTTCCAAGTCATCGTCGGCATCGAACACAGCCAACTGCTGCTGCCTTGGTTGCTGCTTCTCCTGTAATATTCATGTTAATACGTCAATATAACCGATTGGCAACCAGCCCTCTCCCAAAGAGCGGGCGAAAGTTCGCCCTCAAGGGGTGGGGGTTTGCTTTCCTCTCCATCTCCGTCGGTTGGGGGCTGATCGTTTGCAAGCATGGTACGACTCAGAATGTCGCTTGTCGAATACTTGAGGCAGATTATAATTACTTGTTCACGCGTTCTCGTGGCTGTCGAAAATGGGGCGAAAAGTCTTTCTGGGTAGCTAGACTGCCAGAGGACCCCAACGAGCATGAGAAAGCCGGGTAATTGCAACGAACAAAGAACATTACAAAAGTGACAGATTCTATTTGGCGACCCCGGCTCTTTTGACTGTTGTTGGCGGAGGCAACCGCACCACAGAAACGCATGTTGGACCGTTGCTTTGCTTGCCTGCAGTGCACCAACGGCACCATCAGGCGCTTCGCGGTTGGTTCGATACTCTGCACACAGCATCCAAGAGAGAATCTCTGTGGCCCCCAAAAAACTGACGAATGTGATAGGATGAAAAACGTGAACACTGGGTGATGCCTGCGTCGGACCAACTTGACATGCAGCCGAGATGGTCCCCCTTGTCATCAGCCAGGCCGGGCCGGATCACATTCCCTGCTTTTTACCAGCGGACACTCCACTTTCCCGACTTGGTCTTCACATCCCTCTCTACTTCATGTTAGCTCAGCGTCTGCTGTAATGTTGGAAATTCTGCCGCGTGGTGCGGCAGGTCACTCCGGAGGTGCTGACCCTGCACATGTCTGTGTGACAGTAGGTATGAAACAGTTTCCTAAGCTGAAATTCGAATGTATGATTGGCTACTTAGACGCGATGTGAACACCAAACATGATAGTGCATAAAGTTTAACAAACATCAATCAGCGTTTATCAGCCCTCCGCGTGAGTGGCCAGCTTATAATCGCCAGTGAGGATGCCAACATCATCGATCCAGTGTACAAGATCAACGGCGCAAACCGACCGAGGCCGTACCCACGTGTCAAAGGTCCCATCACCAGCGATGCAGAGATCGGGCCCGTCAGAATATTGCCCACACCTTTACCAAATGCCATGAAACTGTACACGTGCCCCGGGTCTTCTGAGAGGGCCGATCCGAACTTGTTCCATAGACAAGGAAACCCGCCCGTCGCCAGTCCGAACACCACTGAGAAGGAAAGTAAAGGTGCAAGGGACGAGGCAAAGCCCCACATGGCAAAGGTCGCAACTGCAGCAACAAATGAGGAGGCGAAGACGAGAACGAGCACGTTGTTGACGCGGTCTGTGATGTGGCCGAGGGCCAGCTGACCAAAGATCGTGGCTAGATTGTTCGCCGCTAGAATCAGCGCACCCATCGTCCCCGAGAAGCCCAACAATGTTGCGTATGTCGGTAGATAGAGAGCGGGGATGTAGTGTCCGAGAGCTTCGAGGAAGTTGGTCATGGCAAAGCAATAGAACAGTGGCCTTTTGAAGAATTTGAAATCGCCTTTCTTCAGAGTGCCCCGCCTTGAGGCAGGAAGCCGTCCTTTGATGAAGGGGATCATGGGGAGCAAGGTGATAAATTGTGCCACAGCCATAGCGCGTAACGTTGTCTGATACCCATATTTTGCAAGGAGCGACTCGAGAAGGAACGGCAAGCCAACACCACTACACCCAGCACCGGTCGACATGATTCCGTATGCAAGACCTCTGCGCTCGATAAACCACTCATTGAGCATCCGAAGAAGTGGATAGTTGACGAATACAAAGGCAAAACCGTAGAGGAACCCCTGGGTTGCGATGAGTGCAGGCACTGAAGTCGAAAAAGAGGCGGCCAGAAGGGATAAGGCACATCCCGACCAGCCAATGATGATCATGTATCGTTGCCATGCCTGGAATCGTGCTGCCAAGGGCGTTGCGAGTGGTCCACCGAGGTAGTAGACACTGGTGGTAACGGTTCCAATGACGGCAATATTTGGATTATGTTTGAGGGCAGGGTGTTTTGAGTAGTAGTCTTGAAAGACGCCATGTGACAGCGGGAAGCCTAGATACCCGTGTAAGTATTCAAGATGAAGCTTCTGAAGTTTCGACCTGCGACGGACATACCCCAGAGAACGGCTTCAGCAACAAATGACGCAAGTATGAAGAGCCAAGCAGACGACCCTTTGTCTACAGCGAGGCTAGGCCGGCTCGAGGCTTCGTCAAGGGTTTCTATCTCCCCACGGCGGACGGTCTCAAGGCTCACGGTCTCGGAGTGAACAGACATTTCGTGGGTAGACTCTGAGAGCATGTAAAGATCTGGAACTATAGGAGAGAGAGAATACCGTCATGCGTCAGATGATATTCCAGTCAGCTCATATACGGCTTTCCAACTGCTCAACTGCTCAATCAATGTGTTTGCTACATGCTGGCGGTTGGCTTGTGCTCATATCGGAATATCATACCACTGGTCTGCTGCAGGGTAAAGGCTAAATCGGCCTGCACTATGCACGCAGACCAAAGAGGTTCCTTGCATTCAACGAGATATTTGCGTGGTTTTTCTGCTGCTGTGGAAAAAGGCGATCACTTGCTTGCGCGATATGGCTGCCTCACCGAGCACTTACGCATCTAGACCTAGGTCGATCTGGCTCGCACTTGGCGGATCCAATCAGGACCTCGCGGACCCTTTCACAGCTTGTTAGTGGTAGCTTTTGGAGCGGATTAACTGTACATCATATTATACCTCAAAATTTTGAATACATTGCCACTGAAGATATATGTAATGTAGTCCGTTAACGCCACTCAGCTTCCATCTGGACCAGTGAACATTGGCCCCGTGGAGTCATGGGCTGGCATCCATGTAATACTATATTGTTCCTCACGAAGCAAAGGAGGTCCATATGAGAATGAAGTTAATAGACTTTCGTCTAGTTCAGATGACGTCGAAAGACCAACCCGCCTTCTAGTAGCAATAAACTCTTGGATGTGTGCGTGCGAGCGTTCATTACTAGCACACATAACGTTAAATGCTTCTACGATCGCTTCGAGATTGGGAATTGGAATCAGTTACTCAGAGCTCGATACTTACGAATTCAGTTCATTCATCGTGAGCTGACCCCTTGGTTTGCTTTGCTTTGCTTTGCTTCACTACTAGTCTATACTGCGTGCCGATTAGCGGCCGTGAGGTTCGAAGAGCACCTTATCAGATCATTCACTTCAACCCCTCCTAGCTTGTTATTATTGATTCTCATTTGTTTACGACTCTGAACCTTCCCGGCCTATATTAGATGGTTCGATATCATCCAAGGGGATACTGTGCAAAAACCTTCATTTTTCCCTCCTGCCATTGGATTTGGCAAGCACATTTAGCCTTGTCCTACTCACCTAGCCAGTTTTGGTAGTCCCAACCGAGATACTGCATGCTGCAGCTAGTCTAGCCAGTCGTTGAAGGCGGCGTCTTTGGCCTTGATCTGCTTAAGTAATGCCCATGCAACCCCATGCATTCCAGCTGATTCGAAGCTGAGCTCCTGGTTTTTCACGAAGTTTCACTGCCTACCTACTACGATCGCATGAGGACTGAGCAGTTCACTACGAGATTACCATGTCAGGAGAAGATCCACCTGTCTACTCACCACCGTCCTATGCATCGACAATTTATACTCCTCTGGCGCAGTCCGACGTCGTTCGGGTGTTGATCCTCTACCCCGCCATTACTCACGATGCCGAAATTCAGTGCGAGCTATTGTCGACCGAAATATCTACTTGCCAGGAGCTCGAGCAGTCGTACGTAGCGTTGTCGTATGTCTGGGGGGATCAAAGCGATCCTCAGCTAGTATATGTCAATAACCACGAGGTCTATATTGGAAGAAACCTTTCCGAAGCACTCCGTCATCTTCGTCGTCGAGATTGTCCGATACGGCTCTGGGCAGACGCGCTGTGTATCAACCAGAATGATGTTGCGGAGCGAAATCACCAAGTTCATCAAATGCGCAACATCTATTCTTCCGCTCTAGAGACAGTCATTTACCTCGGAGAAGATGATGGAAGCAATACCACATCCTCAGCTTGGAACTTTCTCGAAAGACAAAGCGAGTGGGCACTGAACGAAGACGGCAACGAAGACACCCAGCTGCCGTCGACTCTCGAGGAAGATCTTATTTACTTCAGAGGAGATGTAGCTGATGTTGAGCTCAGCGTCCTGAATAAAGCTTGGTTCTTGCGCGTTTGGGTTCTCCAGGAAGTTGTTGTATCGAAGAAAGTATCAATACAGTGTGGTCATCGACGAGTTCCATGGAACGACTTCTGCAAGACCCTCTTGCTGAACCCAAGATACCACGATCGCTATGGATACAGCATGCAAGCCATAGAAAGAGTCGATATTGTCCGCGACATGTTTCAAGCCCGCTGCGCCTACCAAGAGTCGCATGGTTTGGTCCACCTCCGACCTTCCTGGCACGCCAACGTCACCAACTATGGTGGTAGAAGCGCACACATCATCGATATGCTTGTCAGAGCTCGTCAGCTTGAAGCATCAGATCCCCGGGACAAAATATTTGCCCTCTTAGGGATTTCAACGAATGTGGATCTTGACAATAGACTGATGGCTGTTGATTACAGCAAATCTCAAGCCGAGGTACAGACTAATTTGGCTCGCTACATCATGGAAGAACATAAGAGTCTAGACATACTGAGCTACGTCGATCATTCTATCACCGGTTTGTCTTCTTTACGTAGAGTTGTTCAAGCTGATGCGCTGCCTTCGTGGGTTCCTGACTGGGACGCAAGCCAGGTCGCTCGAGAGCAGCGGCTGATGGCCATGCATGCCGCCGCTGAACTCAACGAGGGCTCGCTCCCTCTGGACCCCGCTAGCCCCATCGTTCCAACAACTCTGAGTTACCTGAGTGAAGAGAAGGATGAAGAACGTGAAAGAAGATAAGATATAGCCTCCAAGAGCATGGCGTGGCTCAACGACAATAAGGTTCTTTTGACGATTGGTTCAGTGATTGGCACCATAGCGCACGTCGGACCTGACATCAGACTTCGGGGAGCCGACGAACTTTCATTTCAAGCCATCAGAAATCAATGCGACGACCCCACAGAGTTGCGTCGGAAAATCATGGCGAGATGGGCTCGACTTCTTCTTCAGAAACACAGAAGGAAATATGTAGGGACCCACAATGATTCAAGACTACCTTCTGGCCCACCGGAACGTATGGAAAACGTCCTTCGATCATTAGGGGACACTTTAGATGTGGGATCCCACACAATCGAAAGTCACTTGTTCTCCAGAGGGCGACAGACAGCTGCCTGGTCCGGAGAAGGTGAGCAGGTCATCAACAGGGTCACTGACAGGACAAGCATGCTTGAAAACAAGTCTATCGGTGCCTACAATAGAACTGCCGGTTCTCCTTCAGAGCTTCACAAAGTTGTGTTGCCACCCGGGGCGAGAAAGAATGATCTCATGGTTTTGTTACGTGGGGCGCGAGTACCATTTGTCGTTCGGCCGATAACTGACAGCCATGTCGCGATGGACGTGGGAGAGACTCAGCTTTCACAGTTACTCCGCTCCGGCTTCGACTTATTGTGTCTCGGGAACGTTGCCTTTCTCGATCACTGCAAGCTCGTTGGGGAATGCTTGATCAATGAATGGGGGGACAGCTTCTGTCAAACGGGCAGGGAATGGGAGGTCATTGCACTTCACTGAAGATCTGCATGTATGTATGTATGCTCACGTCAACACCAGCAACAATAAGCTTGGCAACTGAGATTAAATTTTACTATCGAACCGAGTACCAGACCAACTTTTCAATCTGCTTTTGAGTTTCCCGCCATTTTCCGTCACACCGCCAGCTGCTTTGGCCCAGTTCTGGTAGCATTAGGCGGAAAGAACAGCGAAACGATACAACTTTTATGAGACTCAAGCCCAAAAATGAGCCTGCGATACAATAAAAAGCAGAGTAAAAAAGAAAAAGCGAACCCATGCTCCAAGTCAAAGTTGCCAGACTAAATGCCATTGAAATCTATTGCAAAATAAGTGACCGGTCACTTATTTTGCAACGTTTACTTGGCAACACCGATGCAGGAGAAGCATCGCTTGAAGGAGTCGGCCTCAAGAGCGAAGAGACCGCCGTGGTCAAGGAGGGTGGCGGGGTTCCAGATCTCAGGCTCGAGGCGGCCGAGGAGACCAGTGTAGCTGGTGAGACCCTGGGGCTCGGTGACACCCCATGGGTTGCGGAGGACAATGTACTGCTTGTCTCCAATGACGCAGTAGCCGAGAACGGAGTAGGCGTGGTTGGCAACAATGTTGGCACCGTGGAACTCGCGGCCGGTGGCATAGGTGTAAGCCGTCATGGGGTTGATGGTCTTGTTGTTGACGCTGTTGGCGCGGACCAAGCCCAAAAGGGTGTGGGAAGGGTGGTTGTCACAGTTGTAGTAGTGAGGCGTGCGGCCGTTGATCTGGGCCATGGCCTTGATGGGGTCACCGCAGTGAGTCTGGGTGATATCCGGCTGCTCTGAGTTGGAGCCAGTGATCCACTTGGCGAAAGCCTTCTCGTAAAGCGAGGGCCAGATGTCGGCGCCATCACTGGAGCGGCAGTAGAGAGGCTCGTTGTCGGAGTTGTTGATGGGGATCTCGTAGTTGACGTCAACAGTCTCAGTCTTGTTGTTTTGCTTGCCACCCTTGTCGTGGAACTTGACAGACAGGAAGCGCTTCTTGTCGTTGCCGTGAGTGTGGACGCGGGTGGCGCGGTTGATGGCGCTGGGATCGGACCAGAAGACAGAGAAGAGAGCAGAGACGAACCAACTGTTGCTGGAGCAGCCCTGAGTGGGGTCGTCAAACTGGCGATTGGTCTCACGGCGGTCACCAAGCTGGAACATGGTGATGTCGGAAATCAGGCGCTTGTTGACGCTCTGGAAGAAGTAGTCGTACATGTCTCGCCATGAGGCGTTGGGTGGCTGCCAGCGGCCCTTCTGCATTCTGAATGGAGTGACGAGTTCATTGATGGACATGGTGACCTTGCGGTTTGAAACAGTCTCGCCGAACTCATGGGCATGGAGAACAAGGCGAAGCTTGCCATTCTTCATGCGAGCCATCTTGACCTTGGCGTCCTTGAGGTCCTTGAGTCCGACCTTCTCGAGATCTTCAAGTTTGCGAACACCAGAAAAGTCGGGGGTCATAAGGTCCCGCTCGTTAAGGATCTTCATATCCTTCTCGTCGTACATCTCAGCCTTTCTCTCCTTCTCGTTCAGTTTCATACCGGCGAAGAGAACAGAGTGATGGCGCATGTCGAAGAGCTCATCGTAGTCGGTCTGGAGAACATTCTGAAGGATCTGAGCAGCAGCCATCGAGTGACGGTCAATCCTGCGGCCGATCAGGGCCTCAGCCAAGGCGTAGGGATTGACGGCACCGACGCAAGGGTTCTTGGGTGGGGAGTCGGGACGGGGACCATCCTTGCTGAACTCGTGGTCCCTGTTCATTTCGACGAGGTCTTCGTAGTCCTCCAAGGTGCTCTGAGATGAAGAGCCGGGCATGCTCTCGATCTTGTGGCCAAGGATAGCCTCGACAAGGGCAATGACGTTGCTGTCTCTCTCGGAACCTCGGATGTCACCCATTTTGAATTTAAAAGTTAGGTAGAGTATGTTGTAATAAGCTAAAAGATGTTGTGATTTGTTGATAGCACTGAAGTCTTTGGAACTGAGCTGGAAACTTGTTGCTGCTGGTCTGCAAGTTGATAGAATTGCGTGACATTTGATGGGTCTTTATACCTTTTCAGGCAGACTAGAAGATCACACTTTTCTCCAATTGTGCCGCAAGCTTCGGTTCTGCAAGGTGAATCATGAATGCGTAAACCTCAACTCAAACAGCTCGTACGTGTTATGCATCTTTTCCCATCGTGCGAAGGTTTCGCATGGTCTGCTGCGGGGCAACAAAGACCACACATCAGAGCATCAGCTACATACACGAGGCCGAGACTTTCCAGCGTCGGACTCGATTCTGCAAGTCAGATCAGTGAGGTCTTCGTGGTCGTATTCACCTCTCAACGTGGACGAACCATTGGTCTGAGTGTCGACGAGTATCGCCAAAGTACCTGAGTCTCGCAGTCACATGTGAAATGAGCCCGCTTCAAATGCTGAAGCAGAGCTTGACGCTAGACGAAGTCAAAGGCTGACAACTCTTTCGTGCCCAAGTCCGTGAGGGGCCTGTCAGCACGACCTAGACTTCTCTGCAGAGCCCCGCGAAGTAGGTTTCACTGAAACCCTGAGAGGACCATCGTGCAGTAGTCCGTGAGGGGTTACAATGTTGGGAGCAAATCTCAAGAGAGCATGTTCCCCGCGTGTGGACATGGGGCCATCATGAGGCTGAGAATCAGTCCCAACAAACTCAAGGCTGCAGCTTCAAAGGCTGATCAGAAACCGGGATCCTTCTGCGGCGGCAACATCGGAAGAAGCTGGGGAACTGGCCCGGTTTGAAGTGACAACCGAGCTAGACTCATACATTGAGCAAATTGTCAGGTCTATGACATAAAAGCTATGTGCCACTGATGCTACCGATGAATAGCAAACTTTTGATCCCACGTGGCGGCGCGGACTTTGTGGCGTCTTGCTCCATTTCCCCAATGTTGTCCGCAACAAATGTAGGCCGTTTCTTGTTTAGGTTCTTGGACCCCTCATTCTTGCATTGATTCCCCAACTCCATTGGCTTTCTTCATTGCTGCCGTCTCCTTGCAGAGAAGCATCGCAATCTTACGACCTTAAGCTTCATATTGAATTACTTCTTATGGGCTCATAAAACACCCGACAATAACCGCATCAGACCGGTACAAGCACAAATTACTTCGAAATTCTTGGATGTCGGTATAGAGCAATCGAGGCTTTCAAGGTTGTGATGAGAGTTGCGGGGTACCGGCGAGGCGCGCGGGGTACGTGAAGTCTAAGACGGTAAGGCTATGTGCGGCATTCGGTTTCCTCTCCTGACTTTGACAAATGTGCCGGTTCCAGCCAGAGATGCAGTGTGACAAGGTGAGATTTGGACATTCGATGATGACGATAGCGCTTTTCGGCATGTTCCAAGTCTCTAGACCAATGTCAATTACAGACAATGACCGTTCAATGACTGTTAGAGAGAAAATGGCGTTTGTGGATGGTACTACCAGGTTTCTTCAGGGTAGATTGATATTGGTTCATCAAACATCCCATCTGGCTTACTGAAAATAACCCGAATCCGAAGTGCAGCTTGATCAGTAAATGTACACAAAAGTGCCGCATTGATAGCCCTCTGTCGAAGAAATGCAGTCAGCATAGCGCAGCCCGACATGGGCCAAGTCCACAGCATTGGTGTTGGTAGAAAGAAAGGACGGTGTCTCAAGAGAATGTCGGGCCGAGCGGGGCGAGCGGCCCGAGCCCGATAGGGCGGACCCCGCCCGGCCAAAAGTGGAGTTCGTGGTGGATACCTCTGCCGCCTAACCGCCGGTTCAATAAGCCGAGAGGGACGGCGGAGGGGGAACTCTTTTCCTGGATGAACGTTTCTGTGCGCGCTTTGCCCCGAGAACTCACATACAGCGCGACTATCCAACCGGGTTCTGCGGCCAACATCATAATCATCTGAGCTGAAACCACGTCAAAGCAGCATTTCTGCTTCTGCTGTGGGCTGCGAGTGGCAGACTTTGGCTTACTGGCTCCAATGTTAAGATTTGCAAAGAGCAGCACAGTAAGAACAAGGTTTTCATTGGGAATTGCTCAATCATGAGATTGACCTTTTTCTAGCCCCGGCGTACCAGAAAGTCGGGTCGGGCATCAAGCAATGCCAAGTGCGTACAGCTACGCTCAACCTCATTCTTGACCATGAGCGTGCATCATTGCGGGGAATCGAGGACATCTTACCACAATGCACAATCAAAATCTCAATTCAAATGATCGGATAAGATTAGCGAGGGCTTAGAACTGCGTCTCAGCCTCCGTCCGCCTGCTTGCGGGCTTCGAGATGTTACAAGTCGGAAAAGATACTTTTCATGTTTTTGAGTCTCAAACTCAAAAATCTTCTGAATCTCCTTTCTCGATATTTCAAGTAATGGGTTCTTGAATTCGCTCAACTGATGGTAAAATGCAATTTCCGAGACTTTGAGGCGGAAAACTATGTATGTGAGGTGATGTCGCGAAATTCGCTGTGTCTACGTACAGCTGACGACAATCTAGTGGATCTCCATGTTTACACAGTGTGTATGCACGATACACCCCTAAGTGGAGTTGATCTGGTCTTCAAATTGCCCTCTCCACAAGGCCCAAGCAATCTTACTGCTTGTCCACAGACATTCAGACGAGCTTAGGCCCAAACAACATCAGATGGGAGGACACAACCTGGCTCCTGCGCGGCGACCATGAGAATAATTTTCACCTACCACATGCTTCGAGATTGGAATGATCAATGCATTGAGAGCTGCGTGCAGAACAGATCATCAAGCTCACGAGCATCCGGCTGTTGATGTGCCCAATCGTTATGTTTCACTTGTCAGCTCTGAGGAACGAATGCATCAAGTTTGAAGTACGACTGACGGCTATCGTTTGGTGATGTCGTTTATCAGCTGTTTCGTGGCTCCATGGGCCACTACCCCATCGAGGGCCAGACGGCGTCAGAGCGTCCAAGAGACTCCGGTCTTTTAGGGATATGCCGATATTGCAAGCTCTGCTTTTTCATTCCCTTTTGCTACTTTTGTCTCATCTAGTACGTGCATACAAGGCTTGAGGATAGGCAGAGTAACGATAGAGAAATGCGGCACCATATGCGCTGACCCCGTCTCGAAATCGACGGTGCAGACCAAGCCTTGAAGTTTTCAATTGCGCCTAGTAGTCTGTCCCCCGTATACAATTGGTCCATAAAGCATGAGGAGATTGAATTCTGCTCGATCAGATGTCTCTATATCATACGGATAGATACAACCTCACCAAATTTTAAAGGCCCCTTTCCTAGCCATGCCAGGAATTCCCTAGCGCAGACAACAAGCGTAACGTATGTGATTTAGGATCGACAAAGACAAGACAATTCTTGGGTCATTTGTTTGGTCAGCTTCTTCCCTGCCAAGATGCAGCTTGAGTCTCCGGATCAAGTCCAGCCAGCCCCTTGCCAGAAGGTTGAAGATCCGAGACACACCTTCAAAATTCAAGCGACGTGATTCGTGAAGTGTCCGAGGGGGGAATCTAGCCCGGAAATCAATTATAGGGAGGACCAGATAGCCATTCCAAAAGTCCCAACGCTGTGGTAATCCTATTTCCACGACATGCGTGCCTCCCCTGCACACACGATCATGCAAAGGCACAGAAAGCCAGAGGATCATCGTTGGTGGTGGAAGCAGCGCCGCATCCGCTCAGGTGTGCATATTTCCACCGCCTTGAGGAATTGCTCAACTCACGTCATATTGAATGAAGCGCACACTTCCTTCTACGAGAATGAGCATGGGAGAGATGTTGAACTCCACATCAATATGCTCCTATTGCTCCGACTGCATGCTTGGCAGGATATGTGAGTTTACTGATTACCAAATCGTAACCTCCACGACTCGATTATTGATGCATCTGTCCAAGATGGGAGACTGCGCTTTTCAATCCTCAAAGCCTCACTGCTGACAAGGAACAGAAAGCTGCCTCAGAGATTTTGAGTGTCTGGTTTCTCTGTCTTACCAAGACATCCAGATTGAACTAAGTCAGCATGCCAGCAAAGGCAGTCTCCCATTCCCTAAAATGCCATTGTTAGTGTAACAAACAACCTGAGCTGTAATATCGCTACATTCTTGAGAGTTGAGACCAATCCTCTGAAGGAGTCAGGCTCCAGCCATCGCGCAGTCAGTTTCGTTGTCTCCGAAGCCAATATACAATCCGCGTCCACCCAGTGCGGGCTTAACGTAACATGGATAATGTTCATCAGTTCGATGTGAGGCACGAGGGTAGATATTTGCCACTGCTCAAAACAGAAGCTGGCCCCTGAATAGTTGTTCTAGCTCATCTTTCAAAAGGCTTCCCACGAACACTACTTGCGGCACTGCGCCTTGACCGGGAATCTCACTTCCAGAGAAGCAAACGAAAGTGTGCAAGATATTCAGTAAACCCGTTCGATCGGCCAAGTTCTCTACACAAAGTATATCAACATCAAGCGGCGAACAACGACGTACGATCAGCACAATGGCGCGGTTTCCAGTAGCCCGGCTGCTCCTGGCATTGCTAGCAACGGCTTTCACCAACGCGCAACTTTCCGATCAGTCGCAGTACAGCATCCCTTGCGTGATGCAATACGTCGGCTGTGTCCTCATCCCAAACTTCAACACGGTCTTCAGCCGTCTACTGGGCGACGCTGCTCTGACTCCTGGCAAGTGCCAGCGGTTCTGCAGCGATCTTGGTTCGACGTACGGAAGCCTATACGACGGTTACTACTGCAGATGTTCAATTGTGCCCGAGACGGTATCGCCTGTCATCATTTCAGTAGCCGAATCTCTATGCAACAGAGTGTGCCTAGGCGATTCGAACGCGAGATGTGGTGGAGACCCGAATTATCTCAATTTGTACAAAGCGGTTGCTACGTGCGGAACCAGCAGTACCACTGCCACGACATTGTCTTCATCCTCGACGGTGACCTCTCAGACAACCACGGACACGCCTTTGACATCGTCATCACCGACGTTAACCTCCTCCGTCTCCTCGTCATCTTCGTCCTCCTCGACGGACTCAACAACGTCGACCTCAACAACCTCAACGACCTCGACAACCTCAACAACCTCAACGACAAGAAGCATCCCAACGTTCCCAGTCAACACCCTAGTTCCCGCCCCCCTCGCACCAGCACGGTACATAGGTTGTGGCCCCTTAGATAACTCCATGGTCAGCGACGTCGATCTCCTCTTCAACCCCTTGGTGGCGAATCAACCAGTCGACTGTCAACAGTACTGCAAGACCAACAGGCGAACGATCACCATGATGTCAAAGTTTCTCTGCATTTGCAGTGTCCTAGTGCCAGGAGCGGTAACACCGTTCTCATCGGAAATTCTCCCAAACGATAATTACTGCACAAATCCGTGCAGCTTGTTCCCCTCGGCGCCTTGTGGCGGTGCGATTCCGTTTGAGCTGGGCGCGCCGGTGTACACCGTGTACCAGCTGGACGAGAGCCTCCTCAACTCTACGAGTTCGAGTTCATCTTCGACCGTCTCCTCTACTTCGACTACGTCTTCTCTTTCGTTGAGTTCGGATACATCGGTTTCTGGCACCAGTACGAGCTTTAGTAACAGCATGCTTTCGAGTACATCAAGCCTACCAGCCAGCCCAGTAATCTCAAGCACTTCTCCATCATCGTCGGCGTCATCTTCAACATCGTCCCAGGGATCATCAAGCAGCGTCAGTTCGCTCTACTACTCAAATACAACCTCTCTAGCGACAACTTCAAGCCAGTCAGCGACCTTGAGCACTTCAGCCTCGACTACACCAGCGTCAAGCGTTCCCAGCAGCGGATCCCCCCTTACGACTCTACCGCTTTCTTCAACGTCTCCTACTTCAGTCTCTGCTTCAATCCCTTCTGAGACGTCGAGCGGCAGCGCTCCATTGTCAACTACGTCTCCTGCCTCGACAGCGAGTAGTGGATCCAGCACCCGCACTCTACCAACCACGGATCCCCTCCCGATAGATACGAGGTCTACAAGTCCTACTCTCGCGTCCACAAGTAGTCCTCCAGTGTCGAGTACTGCGTTCCTTCTCACAGTCACCGTACTGAATCAACCTGCACCAAGTCAAACCCTTAACCCCTAGGTGGATGAAGTGCGAGGAAAGAATTTTGTAAACATATCTTCAGTAATCACGTAATGTCATTAAATGTAGAGTTATATCCACCTAGAACAATCCCCCGGGGAGGAATGAATTTCAAAAGACGAGCTATATTTGAAAGATTTATTTGATTTTTACTTCATACCTAGTCAAATTGAATAGCTCGTTATGCTTCAAGTGCATTGGTTTGACTTTGCGGTTCAATTGGAATGGTCCTGAAGGCCCCATTACCAGGTAAGAGAGAGAGATCTGGCTTTAGACGAGACATTCTGGCGAGAGGATTGTAAAGTCTGAGACGGAGACCCATACGAAAAGGGTGTTTGCTAGCATGAAGATGAATAAAGCCCATCAACGTATGACCCCGCAAGACAGGCTATCATTTCATGCCTCATCGTCTTTGCATGTAGATAGATAGATGGCACACTCATACTCATTCAACAAGTCTTAACCTGCCCCTTCTCTACGAAGCGCATTCTCCATTTGCCCCCGTCGGGCCCGGGGACATGAGGGCAAGCGAACTACCAGTCCAAGGCTCATCGTAACGTCAATTTTGGTGAAAAGAACTTTCGTTGAGCACATAAGCGTAGTTCAAAAGTGCATTAGCAGCTTCCCTTGCATGGGCCAGCCTTTCACATATTTCATTTAGCTTAAGTGAGCTTCGTTTCCAGCAAGCCTGTGCATCGCCCAGAACTTACTGTTCACTTGAACTGGTAATTGTGTCGTTTCTGTGTCTTCGGAGTTCTATATAGGCGAGTAGTCCTTGTCTTCGGGTAGTCCAAGTAACCTCGGGAGCGAGAGATCGGGGAGTCCGGAGGTAGACCATCAAGCTTAGTGGTAAGATGATTAGGTATCAGCGGGTATTCTAGCAGCCCCTCTGGAGGCAAAGAATGAGTACGGCATGTATAATATATTAGGGGAGTTAGACTGATATTAGATTGCGTGGGAAGCGCATACTCATTTTCCATGATGATTTAAGTCAACATACCCACTTCCTGGCACCCCCCTGTTTCTGGCACCACAAAAACGATGGGATCACAACCCAACCTCCTCATTACTATTAACTATTGATCCTCAACCACACCCACTACAATACAGCTGCCAGCCTCACTAGGGCATTCAGAGTCGCTGGATTCAGCCGTGATAACCTCCTTTTCACCCGCTTCGATTTGAGCCCGATGGATATCCCTGATGTTCGCGAACTTCGTATTGGGATCG